GTTTCAGCAACAACAGTTGCAGGGGGAATAAAGGTCCTTTCTCCCCCCCAGAAAAAATGGTAGTACACAGTCCTCTCTCTTTACGAGTGGAAACAAAGAGAATCAATGCCATAACAAAGAAAATTAGACATCCATTTAAGGGAAATAGTATGGCAGGGCTTTGGGGAGGGTGCAGGCGAATTAGACAGTATTTCTGTACAGAAAGTTGGCATTAATGAAAAAAGCTGAATTACTTCTTTGGGTCATTATGAAATCTGAGACTGATTTCTGCAACCGCTGCTCATAATATAATCCTCGAGTCCAAGCATCGTTACGGTCAATCTGCGCTGCTCCCCCAAGGAAGGTCCAGTCTCTCCTTCCCCAACAGTGGTACCCAGAAACATCCTTCGGCGCTGCTATGCACCCGATTTTGAATCTCTCGGAGCTTTTCCAGTGACACTGATCTCGGAAATATTCTCCCACAGACAGCATTGACAAACCTTTTACCTTGCACAATGAAAGGCGATGACACTGAGGTGCTGGTGAATGGAGTGAAGCTGTTAAATCTTGCTGTGACATCTGATTGGATTTGACGATATGGAACGAAACCAATTCCTTCTCCCCTACAGCCCAGGACACACTGCTCTGACCCCAGCACGCCTACTGTGCACGCACTAGCCACAGTTCCAGAACCGCCTTCTCTCTCACCGATTGGTTGGAGAACTACCGCGCCCCCTTTTCACTCCGATAGATTGGACGTTCCGCCTTGCCCACTTTCGGATTGATCGGGCTGAGCGCCCCGCCCCTCGCCCTCTCCGGTTGGAAGATCAGCTGCCCAAGCTCGACCCTCCAGCCCCACCCCTTGCTGGTAAATAAACCATCGCAGAACGGAAACTAGGTATTTATTTCTGTATCTGACCGAAACCTGTCAAAAATTCATACACTTGAATCATGATACTGGAACTAGACTCTAGTTCTGTCCTAATGAGAGCTTTTTGAAAAGGTCAGCATCTTTTTCCCTGATTTTTCCGTCGATATCTCGATTTATGAAGTTCAAGGTTCGATGTGTTTTGCTCACTGCTCTCTCAATGTGTCCTGCAATCTGTATAGTGTCCCTCCCTCTCAGCCAAAAAAAAAAATCACACGACACCAGGTTATAGTCCAACAGGTTAAGTTGAAGGCACAAGTTTTCGGAGTCTCACTCTTTCTTCAGGTGTCAGTGAGAGGGTTGGCATCAGACTCCGTGTGTGAGAGAGCGTAAGCAAAAGACCAAAGGGTCGTAGAACTGAGCGAATGCGTTGAACAAACCCAAGATAGCTATTAAATCAGTTAGAAAGGATTAATATGCAAATTCAAGAATTTCTTTCAAGTCACTGCCCCGAGATAACTAAAGGTTTTACCAGTTCCCTTAGTACACCAGAGGTGACATCCCAGGTCAGTCAATGCATTTTAGGACAATATCAACCACAACAGCATATAACCCTGTCATGGCAACCCCTGTAAGACATGTCAGATCATCGACATGGATACTACCATCACACGTGGGAACACCATGCACGGTAGATACTCATGTGACTCGGCCAACACTGTCTATCTCAGATGCTGCAGGCATGGTATATCGGCGAATCCATGCGGACGCTGTGGCAATGGATGAATGGACACCTTACAACGATCATCAGGCAGCATATCAGGAGCAGGAAAGTTGACGTTTCCGGTCGGGACCCTTCCTCAGAAATCTCTGATGCTGCCTTGCCTGCTGTGTTCCTCCAGCTTCACATTGTTATCTCTGACTCTAGCATTTGCAGTTCTTACTATCTCTGAGCCAGACAGCGACGTTCTCTCCCAGTGGGGACAACAACAGAGTCGCCAAGCAGAGGCTGACATCCAAGTTCGGTACTTATGAGGACGGCCTCAACTATAGATGATTCCACCACACCATACACACTCTCTCTCTCACACACACACACACACACACTCCCACATGCGCGTGCGCACACACATGAAATCTATTGGGTGAATTTGCATTTGCAGATTTGTAATTGCAAACAAATTCTATTTTGTTCAAAAAGCATACAATTTGTAGACAGTCAATGTGGCTTTTCATAAATTTCTCCTTCGGGAATAAAACCAACCTGACTCCAAGTAGATACACAGCCGGATTCTGAACAAGGCCTTCCACCTAAAATGAGGTTCCGGCAAGATAGTGGCTGGGTAAGTCGCGCCTTTTGGATTTCAGTCCACTCGCCAGTTCTTTTCCTCTTTCTTGCTTTGTCCTTCCTTCCCCCCCCCCGTAGTAATTCTATTTCTGAAGAAGGGTCTAGGCCCGAAACGTCAGCCTTCCTGCTTGGCCTGCTGTGTTCATCCAGCTTTACACCTTGTTATCTGTATTCCCCCACCTCCCCTTTTAACTATCTACGTAAGGAGCCGGATTGTGACCAAGAACCACAATGGCAGGAGCTGAACATGCAAGTTGTGTCCTGCAGCGACAGCGGATCGAGAGTGGGCCGGCGGGCCTGGGACGCAGGCGGAAGCACAGCGAGAGCTGGAAAGCTCTGCGTCTTTTAAGTTATTTCTTAAAATCTTTTTCTAAGTTAATCTGAATGGCGCCATGTATATACAGCGAAGCTACACACTTTTACTGCATTTTTACATTGAATACACGTGACAATAAATTATTCAATTCAATTCATTGTCTGACCCGGGATGTCACCTCTGGTATACTGAGAGAACTGGTAAAACCTTTAGTTATCTCGGGGCAGTGACTTGAAAGAAATTCTTGAATTTGCATATTAATCCTTTCTAACTGATTAAAGATTTAATAGCTATCTTGGGTTTGTTCAACACATTTGCATCAGTTCTAATACCCTTTGGTCTTTTGCTTATAAATTCTGTCTGATGCCAACTCTCTCACTGACATATGCAGAAGGAGTGAGACTCCGAAAGCTTGTGTCTTCAAATTAACCTGTTGCCGTTTGATTTTTGACCTTGTTCACCCCAGTCCAACACCGGCACCTCCACATCATCCGTCTCAACCGAAGATCTGGTTTCAAGTCCCACCTGCTATGGAGCTGTGCCAGACCTGTTTGATTTTTTTTTTACTTATTTCTTAATCGATGATTGAACCATGTCCACTGGTGTCTGTTTCTGCTAAAGCTAATGAACTGCAGCTAGGTTAAAGGGACCGCCGGGGAGGGAATAGTGGGATAAGAAACTCAAGTTTATTTATACAATAAACTCGTTACTTTCCACAATAGATCTGTGTAAGACCATTCGTTGTAAAACAGACTGATTCACTTCTGGAATTATCAAACTTATTTAAAGTAAACTTTTTGACTTGTTCTTTTCAGTCCCATTTACACCTTGTGTTAATCTGTGTGAAAATCCTGTGTTCCCTGGTCGAATAAGTTTGTGTCCATTAGCTGCAGAAGACTGTGTTCCGTTGTCGTCTTGACCCTACGTTATGGTTGCTGCTGGTTTGAAACCGCAGCTTTGTCTCTGTGTGGATTTTAAGTCTGGGGCCACTGTGTTTGAAGTGAGGGGGTGGGGGAGGAGAGGGATGGACAGACAGTCAGGACTAAACTGTTGCTTTCTCTCACAGCTTCTCCCTCTCCCCTCTAATCTCGTGAAACTGTCTCTTGGTGGACCCCATACCTGGGGGAGGTGTGCTGTAGGTATAGAGAACTGGGAGCTGACTGGATGAGTTGGGGTTTGGGCGGAGAGGGGCCTTTGAGTGACAGGCCTGAAGGTATTTAAAGTAGGTCCTGGCAGCCATAGTTCCTTTTGCCATGTGGACGGTGCAGGGGGTGAGTATCAGAGAGAGAGAGAGAGAGAGAGAGAGAGAGAGAGAGAGAGAGAGAGAGAGAGAGAGAGAGAGAGAGAGTGTGTGTGTGTGTGTGTGTGTGTGTCCGCGCGCGCGTACAGGGAGTCTTAATACCTGTTTTGGTCCTGTAACCTTTACCACTCCAACCACACACCCACCACCACCACCCCCCGCCCCCACTCTCCCAAATTCCTGAACGAGCCAGGCTGAAACAAACTCCAGTGGCAGGATGTATACCTCGTACGAAAGAGGGAGTGTGAGAAGCCCTCGAGAGAACCGGGACCCCACCGGAATAGTGAGTATCCCGTCCGAGTCTCCTTAACTCCTGTTCGTCTCTCCCTGGCCTTGTTTTCCGTTTTCCCTTTTCCCGCTCTCGCTCTCCCTCTGCCTTTGTACCTGTCCTTTCCCACCTTAATTTTTTTCCCTCCTTTTATTCCCCTGTCTCTGCAAATCCCCGCAGCCCGTCGACAAATTATACACCTCCAAAATTATGCAGTCCTCCCCCCAAGTTTTGTTACCCTATCAAATTTTGTAGTCTCCCAATATTACGCCCTCTCTCAAATTTTGTACATCCCCATGATTTGAATTCGCCCCCAAAATGGACACCCCATTGTGCCCCTCCCACCCAAATATTCCTCTCACAAAGCCAGAATGTGCACTCTCCCAAATTTTACTCCCTGATTGTTCATACCCCCAGTTTTGTGTCCCCAATCTTGTGTCTATCCCACCAGTTTTACACTCCAATATTCTTCCCATTTGCAGCCCCTACAATATTGCCCCCCCCATTATACACTGCCTCATTTTGCACCACACCACCTCTTCACCTGCCCACAATTATATAACACCCACCACTTTGCTGAGACCCACATCTCCCAAAGATTTTGTACACCCCCAAGTTTTGTGCCCCTGCCAAAATTGCATCGCAGATGTTTATTGCCAAGATATTGCACTCCCCCATTTGCATCCCCCACCTTAATATGCAACTCTCCTGACCCTGCCCCGTATTTATTGCCCCTGCATACGCCCCTCAGGGTTTGCGGGCCTTCCCAAAGTATGCCCATGGAAATTATGCACCTCCACAAATGTTGCATCCACCCCAATTATGCCCAAGACCCATAATTGTGTCCCCCTTAATTTGCAGCCCCACCCCCAACCAAACAAGTATTTTTCATGAAGTGGAGGTGCTGGTGTTGGACTTTAACTGTGCCCCCAAGTTTTGCACCTCCCCAAATGTTCTCTCAGATTTGGCACTTACCTGCCCTCCACATTATTGACCCTCCCCCAAATATTGCTCCACCCCATATTGCTGCCCATTCCCAATTTACACATAGCCCATGTATTGTGCTGCCACTTCCTTCCATTTTTGCCCCTTATGCTCCCCAAATTTATACCTCTCAAATTTGCCCCCAATTTTTAAATGACCCAAATCCTTCGATTAGATTCCAGTCTCTAACTCACTCAGGTGTATCTGTTTTTCTGTGATCAAACTACCCACCACCAACAGCACCCACCTCCCCCCCCCCCCCCAACCCACCGACCCACCGACCAAACATCTCAATAAGATTCCAAACTATAATGCATTGTAGTGTATGTGACTCTGCAGAAACCACACTGAACCCCTCAATTAGATTCCAGTCTGCAACTCACTACTGGGTATCTGTTCTATATAAAAGCCATCCCAAACCCTTTGATTAGTTTCTAGTCTGTAACTCGCTCATGTGATTCTTAATAAAGACCACCCTGAACATCTTGATTAGATTCCAATCTATAACTCACTCCTATGTATCTGTGACTCTGTAGATAAATTATCCCAAACCCCTCAATTAGATTCCAGTCTGTATCGCACTCCTAAGATCTGGCATTCTACAGATAAATCACTTCTGATCCCCTCCTATTCTAGTCCCTTAACTCCGTCTGGAGTATCTGTTATTCTATGTAAAAGTCACCCCTGATCCCCTCAATTAGATTGTCGTCTGGTACTTGCTCCTGGGTATCTGTGACTCTGGGCACAAACCACCTCAGACCACTCAGAGATTCCATGCTATAATGAGTGAGTATCTGTTGAGTATCTCTTGAGTATCTGTTCTGAAGACAAAAAAATGCTAGAAATCACAGTGGGTCAGGTGGCATCCATGGAGAGAGAGCAAGCTAATGTTTTGAGTCTAGATGACTCCTCAGTGCTGATGTGTGGAGGGGGCAGCATTTATGCCATTGTGAGGGGTTGGTAGAGTGCTAAGGGAGAAGGGGTGTTGATAGAGCAGATTAAGTGATCGGAATGTGAGAACAGCAAAACAATGGTGTGTCTAACTGTCAGACTGAAAAGAAGAGTCCCACTGAAGTAGGCAGGGGTAAGAGGATATGGTGACAGAGAACGTAACAATGTAGCTAAAAGAAAGGGAAGGAATGGGAGTGGTTCACAATCTAAAGGTGTTGAACTCAATAGAGCCCAGATGGTTATGAAGTGCCTAGTCTGAAGATGATATGTTCCTCCAGTTTGCACTGTGATTCGCTGGAGCATTGCAGTATGCAAGGGACAGACAAGTAGGTATGTGAGCAGGATGCTGTGTTAAAATGACCAGCTACGGGAGGGTCGGGTTCGTGCTTGCGTACGGACTTGTGGTTTTCTGCAAAGTGGTCAACCAGTCAACATTTGGATTCTCTCATGTAGAGTAGGCCACATTAAAAGTGCAACAAATGCAATAGACCAGATTGGAGGAGGTGCAGGTGAAATGCTTCACCTGGAAAGACTGTTCAGGCCCTTGGATGGTGAACAGGGAGGAGGTGAAGGGGCAGGTGTTGCAGCTTCTGCAGTTACGTGGGAAGGAGAGTGCTGTTGGTGTTTGAGGAATGGACTAGGGAGTCCCGGAGGGAACAGTCCCTGTGCGATGCAGATGGGGGAGCGAGGGGAAGATGTGTTTGGTGTTGGCATTCTGCTGGAGCTGTCTGAAATGGTGGAGAATGATTGTTTGAACGCGGAGTCTGGTGGGATGGCAAGTGAGGACAAGGGGAACCTGATCATGCTGTCGAGTGATTGGAAGGGGCAAGGGCTGAAGCCCGAGTGATAGATCAGATGTGGCTGAGGGCCCTGTCAACCACAGTGGGTGGGAAACTGCAGTTATGGAAGGAGGAAGCCAGGTCAACAGTGCTGATTTGGAAGGTTGCATCATATAAACATATATGACGTAGGTGAAGGAACTGAGAAAATGGGATGGAATCCTTGCAGGATGTGGGCTGTGAAGACCTGCAGTGCAGGTAGCTACGGTAATTAGATGCTTTGTAGTGGATGGCAGTTTATTCCCTGAAATGGAGACAAGAGGTCAAGGAAAGGAAGGGAAGTGTCTCCATTGTCTACAGTGCCTACTCTAGATTGGAGAAATCAAACGCAGACTGGGTTACCACTTTGCAGAACACCTCCGGCCTGTGTGCAAGCAACGTTCCCATAGCTGGTCATTTTAACACATCATCCTGCTCACATGTGCACTTGTCTGTCCTCGGCATGTTGCAGTGCTCCAGCTAATCATGGGCAAAGCGATGCAACAACATTTCATCTTCCAAATAAGCACTTTACAACTTTCTAGCTAACATATTGAGTTCAACACCTTCAGATTGTGAACCCACTGCCACTCCTTTCTTTTCTTGTAGTTTTACTGGTTGTATTCTCTGTCACCATGTCCTCTCTCCACTCCCCCCAACTCCACTGGGACTGTATTACTATCCTACAACCTCTTCCATCAGGCAGAAGATACAGAAGCTTGAACAGGCACCAGCAGGTTCAAGAACAGCTTCTTCCCTGCCATTATTAGACAGATGAATAGACTCTCTAACTTCAAATAATGCTGATCTTGCCTAGCGCGCATCCAGTGCAGTGTAACCTTTCTTAAACTGTTCAGGTTTTTTTTAAACACCCTATCATCTGCATATCCTTGATTACTATGATGTGCTGCAAACAAAGCTTTTTACTGTACTGAGGTACACATGACAACAAATTAATCAGTCTGTTCTTTCAAGTTTGGCATTTAGATGCACCATTGTTCAGCCATTCTCAAATTCCAATCACTTAATCTGCTCTATCAGCACCCATTTTCCCCCAGCACTCCACCTCCACAATTCACATCCGCTCTGATGAAAAGTTATCTAGACTGGAAAAGTTAGCTTGCTTTCTCTCCATGGATGCTGCCTGACCTGCTGTTATTTCCAGCTTTTGTTTTCAGGCAGGCGGGGTCCCAGAGCATGCGCACTGCCAGTGATGGCTGGAAAGACATGTTCGTCTGTCACATCACAGGCGGTTAGGGAATTGCTTGTCGCAATACTCCAGTAACAAGGTTTCATGATCGCTCGGTTTATGTCTCAAGTCTCCAGCGTGGGTTTTCAGGTGCCGCGACTGAGGCCGCAGGGAGCCTTGGGCTTCTTCCTAAAAACTGGCCCCGGCCAATGGCTGCCATCTTGGTTCAGCGGGACGGGGCGTGCACAGGCGCAGTTAGCTCGGTGATGTAACAGTGAATGGCAGTGCCGTGTGTAGCCCCACCCCCGGATCCCAAGCACCCTCTTCCCTTCACCCCTACTCTGTCCCCAATCTGCCCCAATGTCTCCATCTGGGGATCTGCTTTTTAGTTTAATTACTCCCGGTAGGAAGGGTTACTCTGGTAAAGTGCAAATATGAAGGGGAGATGAAGCTGGATGTGATTTAAAAAGCAGCAATCCCACAAAATCCAACTCCTGTAAGTTTACAGTTGGGGGTTACAGGTGTCTCAGTAGCTGGATGTTTGACTGAATCTTTCCTGCACATGGAGCAGGGGAATGGGCCATCCCTGGTGTGACTGCACCGCTGGGTGGGCAACTGTATTGCTGTCGCTGTCACTGTCCTGATATTTCCACAGGATCTCCATAGTGTAGGGATCTAAGTCTATCCTGGCTGGATAATCTGATAAATTCTAATCCAATGGACAGATAATCCATAGAGTTCGTCTCAACTGTATGTGGTGAGATTTTATTTCACAGTAAGTTTTAAAGCTCTCTTCACAGTCAGTTCATTGGAATACTCTCACTCAGGCTGTTTAACTGGTTACGGCTGTTTCTGCAGGCTACTGGAAGACCATATATCAAAGGAACAGAAGTAATCCAATTGGCCACTTGAGCCTGTTCCACCATTCAATAAGATTGTGGCTGATCTGAAATTCTTCATAGATTGACTGACAGACACAGACAAGGGATATATTAAACATAAAAAAAGTAAATTGTCAGTTCGCTTAAATAGTTTCAATCAATGGATGCCTAGCCTTTGTGCAATCCGTGGATAATGAGTTGTTCACAGACCAGTAGAACATCTAATTTCTAAGTTAGCAGTGAATGTAAACAGTTTCAGCAAACTTCCTTAAGCATTGTCTTATTTCTGACATACTATGTCGCTTTTCTTAATTTGATAACTGGATAGAAAACGAGAGTGACAGCGGCCAGTCCAGAACCTTCCAAAATCGCTCTGCTCTCCTTGACCTCCTTGAACTGCTGCAGTCCATGTGGTGAAGCTACTCCCAGATTGCTGTTTGGCAAGGAGTTAATAGGATTTTCATCCAGTGGTGATCAGGTACTGGTATGTATTAGTTACAATCATTTTGTTTTAATATCCCACCTTTAACAGAACAGAAAACAGAACATAGAAAATAGGAACAGGAGTTGGTCTTTACGGTATTTGATCTTGCTCCATTACTCTATGTTCATGGCTGATCATTCTAGTCAGTAGCCTGTTCACACTTTAGACCCATTCCCTTTGATCTCTTTAGCCCACAGAACTACATCTACATTCTTCTTGGAAACATTCAATGTTTTCGCCTTAACTACTTTCTGTGGCAGTGAATTCCACAGGCTTAGCCGTGTCTGATTGAAGAAATATTCCCTCATTTCAGTCCTAAACGGCCTACCCCGTATCCATAAACTGTGACCCCCTAGTTCTGTACTCCCCAGTCATTGACAGCATCCTTGCTGCATTTACCTTTTGTAGTCATGTTAAAATTTTATTATTTCCTTTGAGATCCTTCCTCTAAACGCCAGTGAATTTCATTCTAACCAATCCATTCTGTCCTTGTATATCAGTCGTGCCATGGCAGCAATCAGTCTGGTAAACTTTTTGTTATACAGTCTTCACAGGCAGAAAATCCTCCATCAGGTAAGTATTTCCAAAACTGCACACAATACTCCAGATGTGGCCTCACCAAGACCCTGGACAATTTCAGCAAGACATCCCTTATCCTATACTCAAATCCTCTCGCTATGAAGGCCAACATACCATTTGCCTTCTTCATCTCCTGCTGCACCTGCATGCTTACTTTCAGCAACTTGTGTACAAGGACATCCAAGTTTGTTTCACACATCCCCCTCCA